GCCGCGGGGCCGGGGCGCGGCCGCCGGGAGCAGCGGGAGCGGAGCCGCAGCGGAACGGAGCGGAACGGAGCGGAACGGAGCGCGGGGCTCGGCGCTGCCCGGCCGGCCGAGCATGCACTGAGCGAGCGGCCCCGGGCTCGGAGCCGCCCCGCTGCATGGTGTGGGGAGACACGGTCGCGATAATAAATGATAGAGGATACAATGACTTTGCTGTCTCTGCTGGGTCGGATCATGCGTTACTTCTTGCTCAGACCGGAGACCCTGTTCTTGCTGTGCATCAGCCTGGCCCTGTGGAGTTATTTCTTCCACACGGATGAGGTGAAAACCATTGTTAAGTCCAGCAGGGATGCGGTGAAGATGGTGAAGGGCAAGGTGGCCGAGATCATGCAGAATGACAGGCTCGGGGGTTTAGACGTGCTGGACGCTGAGTTCTCCAAGACCTGGGAGTTCAAGAGCCACAACGTGGCTGTCTACTCCATCCAAGGCCGCAGGGATCACATGGAGGACAGGTTCGAAGTAATCACCGACCTGGTGAACAAGACTCACCCCTCCATCTTCGGGATATTTGATGGGCACGGAGGAGAGGCAAGTGCTCAGCTGGAAAAAAACAATAATTCAACAACACCAAACAAAAAAAAAAAGGGGGGGTGTTGCGGGAGGGAGGATGGTCCAAGGCAAGGCGCGGATGTGTTCTCACCCACCAGGTTTGTGTGGTTGTCTTGTACATTGTGGGGAGGGGATTTCCTTGCTTTTTGGAGGGAGGTGGATGTCTGTAAAATACAAAGGGCTGTGTAATCCTCCCTTCCCTTTATCCCTCCTTGCCCCTTCCGGGCTCAGCGCGGCACAAATGTGTCTCTACCCCCTTTGCCCTTTGCGGTAGTGGAGGTTTAATTGAAGGGAAGGCTGCTGGAGGTGGCTCTGACGTGCGTGGAATAACGATGATGAGCACAAACTCCCCGGAGTCATCTTTTGTTACAGCCAAGTGTGGTGTGATGTGATTTTGGCAGCGGGCTGGCTTCTCCCCCGGCCAGAGCCGGGCTCCTCGGCAGAGGTGAAACAGCAGCGCTGCTGGAGGATGCTGAAGTGTGTGTTGTGTGTGTGTAAAATGTGCTTTGGGTAATTCCCAGTCCAGGGAGCGAGCCCAGCACGAGCGCGGTGTTTGGGAATTGTGTGGAGTTCATGTCACTAAAGCGTGCTGTCCCTGCCCTGCTGGGAAGGCAGCGGAGCTGGCATGGTGGCACTCGCTGCCGGGCCACCTCGCTGGCCAGGCTGAGGATTGGGATGTTCCGTGGGCTGCGGATGACAAATGTTGGAGCTGCAGCTTCCTCTGCCTTTAGGATGTGGTGCTGCCACGCAGCTTTTGGCGTGGCACAAGGCACGCGTTTCGTAACTGTGGGGAAGGACGAGGAGTTTGTCCTTGTGTGGCAAGGCAGCTCCAGCTGGGTGTGAGGGAACCTGCTGGGGTGATGGGGAGAAATGTTGGGGGTTTTCTGTGAGAGAGGCTGTTCCTCCAGCTGCTCCCCCAGATCCAAGAGTCCAGATCCTTCCTGGAAAGGCTCTGGCAGTGCCCAGACGCTCACGGGGCACAGGGGTGGCAGCTGCTGCCCTGCTAAACCTGGAAGGGCTCCTGGAAAATCCAGGCCCTGGGCTCAGCATCGGGAACCGCTGCCAGGCTTGGGAAGGGACCTGGGCTCTCCTCACAGTGTCACCTGTTTTTCCCCCTTTAAATTAACACAATCTCTTTGGATATTGAGGATTGCCAGCTTCATAAAAAATGCTGAGCCCTGTTTTGGGGTGTTTTTTGTGTCCGATTTCAGGTGGGGCACAGCAGTGCCAGCTCCTCCTGGCATTCTCAGGCCAGTTCCTTGGGCACTGGAGGAGCACGAGTGGCAATGTCCATGGAACGTGGGTGGCAATGTCCATGGACATGGGTGACAATGTCCATGGAGCACAGGTGACAATGTCCATGGAACACGGGTGGCAATGTCCGTGGAACATGAGTGACAATGTCCATGGAACACGGGTGGCAATGTCCGTGGAACAAGGGTGGAAATATCCGTGGAGCAAGGGTAGCAATGTCCGTGGAACAAGGGTGGGAATATCCGTGGAGCATGGGTGGCAATGTCCATGGAACAAGGGTGGAAATATCCGTGGAGCACGGGTGGCAATGTCCATGGAACACGAGTGGCAGTGTCCATGGAGCACGGGTGGCAATGTCCCTGTGTCCCAAAGCATTCCCAGCTTTTCCCAGAGGAACAGGAGCCCTGAGCAGTTCAGTGGGGCCATCTGGCTCCTTTGTGCCCGGGAGGGAAGGTGCCGGGGCTCTGCCTTTGTGTAAGCTGAGTTTCCTTGTGGGAACCGAGCAGCCCAAACAATTGGGGATGTATCTGAGTGCTGTTTTTAAACAGAGTATTCCGAGGCTGTGGGATCCAGGGTGAAAGGGGGATCTGATTTCTTTCATTAATTTTGTAGCTTGCCCTGCACGAGATGGCAAGCTGAGGGTATTAAATAACCCCCAACTAACACAGGGAATGTTGGCATTTAGCTAATGTGCCTTTTGGATATTGCCTGCTTTGTTGGGCATCTTGAAATTCCATCCATGGCATGCATTAATGTGGGATCCGTGGAAAACTCACTGGCCTTTTGTATTCCGCTTCCTCAGAACTTGCTCTGATGGATTCAGTGGCAAAGTACAGGGAGGTTTTTAATTTTGAAAGGTTCAGCAGAACTCTCCACAGATCTTTCTAAATTTAGTGGTTTATAAATGTATCTGTCTCGCATCTGTTATTCATAATGGAATCCTAAGTGTTCTTCATGGCCTTTACTCCTACAAAAATAAGTTGAGGACCTAATTAGTTTCAAGATTTAAATTTTAGGTAAAACTGTTCAGAAGAACATGAGCTGCGTGATGTGCATACAGAAAAAAAAAAATATATAATGTGGAATGGAGTTTATTCTAAAGAGGTTTTGTAATTTTGGGTAGAAAACAAGGGAGAAGAAATAAAAATTTATGCTCTTATTTAATCCTTAGTACATAACACTACATTTTAAGTCTCTGTTTGAATGAGGGGTTTGTATGTCTTCATTTATTTTAATTTTTTTTAAACATCCAATACTCTGTGAAACACTTCATCTACGCACATAGCGAAGCCTTTGTGAAGGTTAAATTTTCCATATGGGCTCCCGTTAAATTTATTTATGTATATTTAAAGAATAAAGAACAGCTGATCCCTGGGGTTACGTGTGAAACAAACTGGTGTGTATGGGGAGAAATTTGTTTTTCCAAACAGCCAATACCAGAAATGAGATGCCAGGTTATTTCCGGCTACATGGAAGGGAGCCTGTCTCCATTAATTACTTCCTGCCATATCCCATTCAAGTGGAAGGATGGAGGAGCATGATTCAAGCAGCTCCAATTACTGTGCACTGCTAATTTATGAAGATTTCTGAGCTTTCATATCACCAACATTTTGCATAAATTCTACTTTTCTCTTATGTCACTTCCTCTTCCAGCTTCCAGTTTTAGCCTGGGTAGGTTGGCAGACATTGCTTTGGATTTTGTGGGTGGCTTGAGAAAGGAGTAAGCAAAAATACTTATTAATGCTCTGGTTTGCTGCAGTAACTTCTGCAAGGCAAGAATATTTCAGAGCGAAAATTGGATGTGGAGTGTGTAGTGCAATCTTTTATTGAAGCTTAGTTTCTTGAAGAAACTACTTTTATTAAAGGTTAGTTTCTTGGAGATATAATGATGATGATGATGATTAATAATAATAGTAATAATAATAATGATGATGCAGAGCGGGTAGAGGTCAAAGAAGACCTTTCTAGATCTTCCTTTCACCTTTCTAGATTTAGAAAGAATAAAGAAGAGTTGCTGCCTGTTGTCTCATTGAATGACTTTGGCCAAAGGATCACCCTTCAAGGTGATTGAACTTCTAAAAGAACAAATTTTCTGTTCTCTCATCAGCTTATTTTTAAGGTTTAAAAATTGCTTGAGTGCTTTTTTTTTTTTCCCTTGCCCTTTTTCCTTTATTTAGGAATTTTGGGGCTGTCCAGGCTGGAAGATGGAACAGCGTCAAACTCCACAAATGACCAAATAACAAATGATGAGCTGGGAAGCTGAGCAGAGGAAAGGCTGGCTGCTTAATGAGAATGATTTCCCTATTTTAACTACCATTTACTCTCAAATATTTCAGGTTTAAGCACGCAGTTTAATGAGATCTCAGCATTAGACAAGGGCAAAATAGCTCAGCTCCCATCTGCAGTTTTATAGTTACGGCTCTGCTGTAAATCATTGGTTTTTTCCTAACCCTGTGGGGTGAAGGTTTTAAAAATAATTATGGTAATAGATAGTACCTTCCCCTGCCTGGGCTTGTTTGCAGTTGTAAACGGATGTGGGAAATTACAGCTCAGTAACTGTCTCATAAAAAATGTCTCTTTTTATTTCCCTCCACCTCCCGAACAGGGACATGGCAGGACTTGTCCCTCATGATGTGTAGCTGTAGGTAAGAGCTTTTTCTGCCTGGAATAATTGGGCTCTGGAGCTGCTGAGCCAGTGTTTTAGGATGGCAAATACACCTTTTTATTTTTATTTTTTATTCCCAGCACAGGGAAAGGCTGGGGAGCAGGAACTGGGAAGGAGAGAACGGTGTGGAAGTGGCTCCGTGGGGCTCAGGACCTCGATATCAGCAGCCCCAAGTGCTGGCAGAAATCTCTGGTTACTGATTAACTTAGAAAGACACAGAAAAGAAATAGAAAAAAGGGGAAAGGTCAGGAGATAATGGTGGAGAGTCCTGAGGAGCCTCGTGTGACGCTGTGGAAACGGGAATGCTGAGGTGAGGCCTGGAGGAGAGGGCACTGTGCCAGCTGTGTTTGAACAAACCTGCTGTGCATTCCCGTCCAGCTCTCTGATCCTGACAGCAGAAGGTGTTTGTGCTGTGCTGGAAGAAGAGAAAGCTGCCAAATTTACCATTTGAGTTCATTTTTTGGTGTTTTTTTTAATCTGCTAATTCTCATTCCTGCCCCATCCCTGCGATGCTGAACTACTTAAGCAATCTCAGCAATGAAAATTTATCTATCAGGCTTTTGAGTCGAGGCCATTCAGGATTGATGGCTTGGGATTTTATAAAAGGTAGGAATAAATCAAACAAAGGCTTTGGAGTTTCTCTGGATGCTACAGCCCAGTTGTAAGGAGAAGTCTTTGAGGGTTTTCAGATTTTAAACTGCCAGCAAGGTTTTCCTTTTATAGTAATTTCCTTTGGTTTCTGATCTAGAATCCAGTGCCCAAACCTTTGAATAAATATTTACGTAGGTGAGGTCATGTTGATAGGCAAGTCCCAAATCTGCTTATGAATTCCCCTCCAGTGGCCTAAAACACAAGTCAAAAATGATCTACAGGAACATTCCTGTCATTTTGTTTAGTTTATCTAAGTTTTGTTCTTGCACATCATGCCCTAGGATTATGATTTTCGCCCTACAACACCATGCTGATTCAATTCAGCTCTACGCTCATTCGCTGTACAAAAATTGATTAAAATGCTGTAAAAAGCTGTAATTGGAAGGAGGAACTTTAAATGCTGCCATTC